GGTTTGAGGTGTCGGCCGATCTCAAATGGCTGTAAGTTTACCAGGATCGGTACTAATACCTTCCGCTGAAATTTTAATTACCAAAAACGATACCATTTGGGTGGCAAATTCACATTTAAGTATATTCAAATACATATTGTTCTTCCTCAAAGTTTCCATAATACTTCTCAAATACTCTAAATGTTCTTCAAAAGGACTAAAAACCAGTATATCGTCAAATATGTCACACAAAAAAACTTGAGAAAAGGTTTTAAAACCTCATTCATGAGTCGCATAAAAGTAGATGGTGCATTGCATAGGCCAAATGACATTACCTTCCACTCATACTGTCATTCTCGTGTTTTAAAGGCAGTTTTTCATTTGTCTCCTGGTCTGACTCTGATTTGATGATAGCCGCTGCACAAGTCAATTTAGAAAATATTTTAGAGCCAGCCAATCTCTCTAACATCTCTAACATCCTCGGCATTGGAAATCTGAACTTGACTATAATTTTGTTGATGGCTCTATTGTCCATGCACATCGTCCAACTTCCATCTTTCTTTGGCACCAATAATACAGGCACGATACATAGACTTAGACTATGTTGTATTAATTGTTTATCAAGTAAATCATCAACTATTTGCTGCAAAATTTTATTTTATGTAGGACTAAGTTTATAGTGAGGAAGATTCGATAAAGTAGCACCTGCAACAAAGTCTATTTGATGCTTATTTAACGCATAGGTGGTAATCCTGTGGCCTAAACATCCAAAAAAAAAAAACAAATCAGCAAATTTATGTAGCAAGCAGTTGACTTCAACTGCTAAGTTTGGATTATAATTTTCATTGGTTTTCTTTTTTACAATTAATGCTAATATGCTTGAGGACTCCTCCCAAGCATTAAGCATTGCAGCTGCTGAAACAAAAAAAAAAAAAAAAAGTTTTGTTTTGCTTTTGTTTTTTTCTGTATTAGCTTCATGTCCACTGTTACTAGGCAATAGTCGTAATCGACATCCCTTCCATTTGAAAGTGTATGTGTTAGCTCGGCAATTATAGACAGCATCGACGCTGTACTGCAACAGTCGACCCAAAATAATGTGACAGACATCCATCTCTAAAACGTCACATAAACTGCATAAATCCGTCACTGTCATCTCTATTCCCTTTTTCACCCAGCTTATTTTGTATGGATTTGAATTTTTAGTTGTCTTGAGCTGTAATGCCCGCACCATTGCTCTTGACACTACATTCTCTATGCATCCACTGTCGTTCAACAAATCACATACCTAAATTTCTACTAATTGTACATTGATTTTAAATAGAGCATTCCTCTGAGAAATATTAGGCTGTTTGGGGTTTAGTAACAACTTTTCCATAACACAAATAAGTGGATCTCCCTCATCACTTGCTATATCTTCTAATGAATTTGCATGTTCTACCTCACAATCTTTGAGATCACCTTCGGCCTCGACCTCTACCATTTGTAACTGTGGCCTCGTCGAGCACTCGTTTGACATGTGACCCTGCTGAAAACAATAGCAACATTTGATACTAGAAGGCTTGGCGTAAGGATTCTCCCTATTAAGTGCTCTAGTTTTTTGCATACCCTTCACATCCACTATTTTGTTGGCTGCATTACTAGGTCCCGCAGTTACAAGATTTATATTTGCTTGTCTATGTTAGACCGGTCCACTGGACCGGTCCAGCTGGTCCAGGCGGGACCGGTTCGGGGGAGAAATCGCGAAACAAGAGGAGACTCCGCCAGAACGAGCGGCTCGACCGCTCATATAGAGCGTTTTAGGAAGGATTTTTGGGGGGTTTCAGAGAGAAATTTAAATGTAGGGACTGTTTAGGGAATTCCTTTTGATTTGTATGCATTAAATAGATGTTTTTCCTAGGGTTTGGGCATCTTGAATTTGGCTGAAATTTGAGATCTCTTAGATTTAGCTTTTCTTTGGGCTCTAGCGGCGTCTAGAGATTTGGGAGAGATCGATCCTCCTCTCGAATTGAGGATCAATTGTATCTTGCTCTTTTATTCATTGTCTAAGTGGAATACTAGTCTTTTCTTGAGTTTTCTCTCGTATTTTCCCGGACAAGTGCTGTTTTCCTGCTGTAAACAGCATAAATCTGCTGTGGACAGCCATTTGGCTGCCGTTGGTTTGCCGATTTTGGATAGGTTGCTTGTGAATACAAGCACTTCCTATCAGTCTACTAGTTGGAGGTGCAACTGAATGTTGATATCTAATAATCTCGTTTGCGGAGCCTGGATTGCGTCGGGTTTGACTGCTGCGAGTGTGGCTAAACGATTGCAAGTCCACTTTCAATGCATAATTCATGGCCTGTGAAAGTGACCACACAATATTCAATTCTAATTTATCTTGGATAGCTTCCCGTAGACCCCCAATATACCTTGCTACCAATTGGTTAGTTGTTTTGTTTAAGTTGTTGTGAGCACTTAAACGATAAAATTCTTTAGTATACTCATTAACGGTTTGGTGGCCTTGAGTGCAATGCTGGTATTGTATATAAAGCATTTGCTCATAATCAGTTGGTAAGTAAAGATCTCGCAACAATTGTTTCATTCTAAGCCAAATGCGTACCGAACCTTTCCCTTCTCGCCGCCGTTTTTGAATCACCTGTTGCAACCACGCACTGGCTCCTCCCTTAAGTCGACAAGTCACATACTTAATATGTTTTTTCATATACTCAAAAAATGTTTCAACTGACCTTTTCCAATCCAAATAATCCTCAATATGTAGTTTACCGTCAAAATACGATATATCTAACTTCATCCGGAATTCATTGTATGGTCGCTCGCCTTCTACGTGGGACATTCAATTCTTCATCAATGTCAGTAATCTCAAGATTTCTGAGTCGATCTAGCTCATCTACGGACTCAGAACCTTCGATGAATTGAGAACCTCGTTGCCTATGCCTTTTCATTCTCCCCTGTTCTCCTCTGTGCGGGATAAGCTGCTGCAACTACGGCTCAGACTGGTTGCAACCGATCAAGCCTAGCGTTAATCACCCTTAGCTCCTGTCTAATTTCACCGTAAAATCGATGAACTTTCGTTGCTAATTCTTCCGATTATTGCACTAAATTGTTATGCTCTGCCCATAGAGCTTCTAGGCTGTTTTCATGCCCGGGCGCCATCCGCCTACTGCTTTCGGCCATTCTAGCTCTGATACCAATACTGATGTAGGAATCCTGTGGTAGGAAAGCTCAAGCAAGTAGATTGATATAACAGTAACTTCAGGTTACTAACTTGTATTAAAACTTGCAGAAATTGACAGCAAAAACTACCTTATGTTCTTCTCGTAGTCACCTATATGGTTACTTCTGATAACAAGCAAAACTAAGGAATGAAACATGACTAAAGGGAATAACAGAAAACTTGGGCACATGTGCAACATGTGCTACCGTACTAAAGAAATCATAATAATAGTATATTCTAACTAACAAATAAGAAGCAGTGGTAATAAGTTGTTCTGCCAGGTATTCTTGCTAATATGCCCCACATCATTTAGTCGTAGTATTGATCTTGTAGCCACACGTTTTGAAAAAAAAATATGAATATTAATTGTGTAATAAAAATTTCAAACATGTAACTTCATTTATTTATTTATTTACGTTTTTTGGTGGGGGTGTGAGGGAAAATATAAATTTGATGCAGGAGGAATACAAATCTGATACTTAAAATTTGATGTAGGAGGAATACAATTCTAATACTTTGAAAATAAATTTCAAAAATTTTATCTAAACTAGCTGAGACATTCTATAGAATTCTTGTTAATAAAGAAAGGCTATGAAACTATTATTATAATTTCTTCCTCTTCATTAATTTATTCTTTGGTATATTTTTTTGGCTATTAATAGAAGCTAAAAAAAAAATTTGCGGATCAATATATTTCATTTTTAAGTTTTTGTCTTTTGAGGAGCAGGCTTCATAATATACTGGTTGCTCATTTATAATTTAACCATCATGAAATTATTTGATGAGCTATAGGGCATGGGTGGGGCCAGGGTGCTGTTTGCACAACTGGCATCTCTTATTGTATTTTCAAATTAAAATAAACATGGAGTTCAAATAGTCTATTTCCTGCCCCCGTATTAAGAGGATTTCATCATACTTTATCACATTATTTTCTAATAAAATCGACTAAATGAAATATGATTTTTCCTTTGAGTATCATAACATCAAAACTTGCTTTTATCTCATATACAGAGCGATATCAGACGAGTTTGCACATAAGACCAGAGAGATCTACAATGAACTACTCAGAGCAATATGGGAAAGCCTTGATCTGGACGTAAGTTTTATGGAAGAGTCTTTAGAATTAAAATCAAGCCGTCAAACTCTGGTAACAAATCTCTATCCTCCGTGCCCACAACCAGAGTTGGCCTTGGGGTTACCTCCTCACTCTGATCCCTGCCTTGTCACTCTTCTTATGCAAAACAAAGGTTACAATGGCCTCCAAGTTCTTCACAATGGCAAATGGATCGTCATCCAACTAGTCCCTCGCTCTTTACTCTATCTTACTGGAGATATTATAGAGGTATACATTTCGTACCCATAAACTCATTTCCTATAAGCCGAGGGTTGTTTAGTTACTGCTAGAGTTATATTGTCATTGATCTTTCAAGTCAAAATTCAAAAAAGTAATTTGTTTTACTAACATTTATTATTTATTGGTCATATTTTTTTAGATTATAGTTAAAATTTTGAAAGAAGTATGATTGTTGATGTTGTAATTACAAATTTTAATTACGATTCTTATAAAAATATGATAAAAAGAATCATTTTTATTATAAACATTTTGAGCAAGATAATAAGAGTAAATGGTATATGAAGAGATTCAAGAACCTGGGAGAACAGTATCAGACAGGACAACAGAGAAGAAGAATAATATTTATTATTTTGTAGAAGGTGTACAAGAGATTTATATATAGATAATATAACATGATTTAGACACGTGTCGTTCTCTTATAGAATATCAAGAAATACAGTTAACTAAACTAATTTATTTCTTGTCTAATAGTCCCCCACAAACTGATGATTCTTGAGTGATCGTCAGTTTGTTCCGTAAGATGCGAAATCTGGGAGTGGATAACAGCTTAGTAAGGATGCCAGCTATTTGGTCTGTCGTGCTTATTGGAAGCAGTTGAATGTTATTGTTTTGAATATGATCCCGAATGAAGCGTTGATCAATTTCAATATGTTTCGTTCGTGCGTAGAACATCGGATTGTTTGCAAGAGCAATCGCCGACATGTTATCACAGAAGAGGTCGATTGTAGTAGCATGATTGACCCCAAAATCTGATAGCAACCATTTAATCCAAATTGTGTTTGCGGTAGCAGCAGCCAATGCGCGGTACTCCGATTCAGTTGAGGATCGTGATGCCGTGCTCTTTTTCTTTACAGTCCATGAGACAAGAGTGTCACCCAGAAATGAGCAATATCCCAATGTAGACTTTCTGGTAATTGGATCGCCGGCCCAATTTGCATCCGAGAAGGTGCGTAGTTGAAGAGATGATTTTGTGATGGGTAGGCCAAAATCAAGTGTCCCGTGAATATACCGGAGAACTCTTTTTAGTAGATAAGTGTGAGTGATGTTTGGATAATGCATGTGCTGAGGCAAAATGTTGACGGCGTATGCTATGTCTGAACGAGTGATAGCCATGTATTGAAGAGCTTTAGTTATCTTCCGGTAGACGTGCGGCTCAAACATTTGGACATCTGCAGACATTTGATTTGGCAGTTTGGTACACGAGAGATTATCTAGGGAATTACATTGGCTAAGATTCGCTTGTTGAAGGATAGATTGAGCATAAGAAGTTTGTGAAAGAAAGTACTTATCTTTAGCTGATTGAATCTTGACTCCAAGGAAATGATGTGCTAGACCAAGTTGTTTCATGGTGAACCGCTGATTTAGTTGTTGTAGAAGGTCTTCAATAGCTGTCTTGTTGTTACCGGTAATCAATGTCGTCGACATATACAAGAAGATAGAATTGTATAGAGGCTTGACGAAGGTGAGCAGAGATTGATCCGCTTTACTGTGTTGGAAACCAATGCTGAGAAGATAGTTGGTGAACGTAGTGAACCACTGACGAGGAGCTTGTTTTAGACCATATATTTCCTTGCAGAGAAGGCAAATGTGATTTGGATGCGTAGAATCCTCAATGCCCTTTTGTTGCTTCATATTGTCACGACCCGGCCCGGTTAGCTCGTAGATACGAGGCGGGAACGAGATCGGACATGTAATAAAATTAACTAGTCATTCTTCTTAACAAAATAAAACTATTCATTGAACTCATAAAAGACAAAAAGCGCCTCTAAATCTTCTCTAATTTCATTCCAAAAAGAGTTTTCAAAATATACAAGATGGCTAACTTTAATTTAAACATGCTAGGATAAGCCATCCAAAAGATAGGAAGTAAAACAAGTAAAACTACTAAAATGAACCTGTCACCCGGAGTACGACGACTGTAAGTGAACCTTGGGTTTTCAGCCATCTCTCCTACTAGGTTCTCCTGAAAAATTTCCCAAAACTAGGGAGTGAGCTACGCTCAGTAACCGTGTAGGAATGCATTGGTGACTTCTAATTGTTCAACCGGCTAGCCATGGAATAACACAATAGTGAAAAGAATTCGTATTGTGGCTATCGGACTAAATGTCTCGCTGTAGTCGAGACCGTGTTTTTGTCTATTTCCTTGTGCCACTAACCGAGCTTTCAACCTTGCTATAGAGCCATCCGAGTTAAACTTTGTGCGGTACGTCCACTTGCAACCCAGTATTAAGGCATTGTTCGGCGGTGGTACAAGGCTCCATATACCTTGTTGTTGCTAGGCAAAGAATTATGATGCCATTGCCTTTCGCCAAGCTACGCTTCTGTTGGCTTCATTGTAGGTGGAGGGATCCTGGAGTTGTTCAGACGCAGATTCTATGTGAGCTAAGTTGAATCGACGAGACGGTTTAAGAGATCTAGATTGAAGACGCGTAATCATAAGATGCTTTTGCGGTTGCTGTTGCAGAATTAGTGATGTAATAGACACTGTATGATCAATGTGATCGGAGTTTACAGGAGTGAGAGATTGGTAGTTGCTTGATTGAGTATCAGAGATTATGGTATTAGTTCAGGTATGAGATGTATGTGCCAATGTGGTTGGAGCACGAACCAATGTGGGAAGAAGTAGAGCTGGAGGAGTTTCACTCTCAGTTGGAGAGTTTGTGTGCCGGTAATGCTGAAACGGAAAGGATGCCTCGTTAAATTGAACATGCCTAGAGATGACCATACGTTTAGTTTCAATATTCATGCATTTGTAGCCTTTTTGAGTATCCGAGTATCCCATGAAGACGTCTGATGCGGATTTAGGATGAAATTTGGTGCGACCTTGGGTTGGAGTTAATGTGAAGCATTCACAACCAAAGGTTCGCAGGTGTTCGTATGATGGTGTAATGTTGAACATCAGCTGTAGAGGAGAAATAGAATTTGTATTAGTTGATGGCAGTCTATTAATAAGATATGTGGCTGTAGAAATCACATCAGCCCAATAAGTATGTGGCTTTGATGCCGTGTGCAACAGTGTTCTTGTGGTCTCCATGATGTGCTGATGCTTTCTTTCGGCGATCCCATTTTGCTCCGGCGTATATGGGCAAGATGTTTGGTGGAGAATACCTTTTGATTGCATAAATGTTTTGAATTGACTATTAAGATATTCTCGTCCACAATCAATGCAAATGGCTATGACTTTCTTATTGGTTTGGCATTCGATAAACGTAATAAAATCAATGAATATTTTAGTGACATCAGATTTAAACGTAATAGGAAATAGCCAAGTGAAGCGAGAAAAATCATCTACGAAAATAACATAATAGCGATGGCCCCCAAACATCATAGTGAATGAGATCGAGAATGTTTCGTTTTCTGTTAACAAAATTTGTAAACAGTAATTTGTGACTTTTGCAAGTCTTACAAGAAACACAATTAGACAAAAAAATTGGTATATGCAAGTTGGAGTTACTGCTGGAGATAGATCGAAGGACTTTGTAATGGGGATGCCCAAGACGATTATGTCAGTCGTGTGCTGTGATAGAAGTTGCGTGCAGAGCTTTATTCTTGATGTTGTGCTTCTTGGATGAGATTCGGTACAGTCCATTCTTACTGTGACCTTTGAGAAGCTGTTGGTTGGTCAGAAGATCCTTAAAAATGAAACCATTTGAATCAAAAGTGATAAAGATATGATTATCTTTAACTAAATTAGAAATTTAGAGAAGGTTATGAGAAATAGATGGAATATGCAAGATTTTTGATAGGTGAAGCTTACGAGTCGGGGTAGGAAGGATGCCCGTGCTCGAGTGAGCTATGGGAATCGTCCTTCTGTCCCCGATTGCGACGGTGTCTGAGCCTTGATAATCTTTGATGTTGTCAAGATTGTCCACTACATTTGACATATGAGATGAGGCGCCTGAGTCAAGATACCAATCGTTGGAGGAGAACTCATTGGTCGAGAGCAGAGCGTTATTAGTCTTGGAAGAATTGGTCATCGGAGTGTAATTGGTGTTGAGCCTGTCCCAACATACATCGGCGGTGTGTCCTTTCTTCGTACAAATTTGACAAACAATATTAGATACAGAGTTAGAAGGAGGTTACTGATTTCCGTTCTGATAAGATCTGCCTCGTCCACGTCTTGCATGACCCCTGTTGGTGTAAAGTACGGTTTGGTTGTCCGTAGTGCCAGAATGTTTGGAGGCATCGGTGTGGATGTGAATTTCTTCACTAATAAGTAGTGCGTAGAGGTTGTCTAAACTCAGTGGTGTTTGGATTGTTCTCACAGAAGTCTTGAATAATTGATATGTCGGCGGAAGGCCGTTCAAGATGGGATGAATGATGTCCTCTGTGTCCAATTTTGCTCCGGCATATGCAATTTGATCAACAAGTTTCTTGATATATGTAAGATATTGCATCATGGAGAGGGTTTTCATAGAGATGTCGTGCAATTCGTTCTTGAGCTGAATCACTTTGGAGTGATTTGTCAACTGAAAGCGTGTTTGAAGCGCCTTCCAGATCTCAGATGTGGGTTCAAGGTGCACGACGTATGGAAGAACTTGCGGTGAGATTGTTGGGCAGATGGCCGCCGCGAGATTCTGATCGGTAACAAGCCATTTGGTGCGCGTGTAGTTTGGGTCTTCGTTTTCGGATTCTTCACCAGGCAAATGTGATGCCCCAGATATCAATAGTGAAAGGATTCATCTATCTCTCTTATCTCTTTTCTTTTTTTTCTTTCTTTTTTTTTTTCTTTTTTATCAGTCTTTTCATCTTGTTTCTCGTTCAGTTCAATACAGTCATCCAGAGACAATTGCATTACAGGAAAGAAATACAGCAACTACTATAATTCACATATCAACATATATACAATCAACAGAAGCGTCCAAAAGGTCATATACAATAGCCATACAGCTACAAAACAGAAGTCTACCAAGGCTA